CAGGGGGAGGCAGGGCATAGGGGACCCCGGTACCTTCCTCTTAGTTGGGCTAAAACCTCAAACTGCTTAAAAACATGAGCACAGAAAAGAAATGTGTGGATCTGCTCAGTTCCCACAACAGGCACAGAAGGTCAAGCAGTGGAACGGGCAGGGGAAAGGAAGCAGAACCAGTGACCAGGGCGACCAGCAGCAGCAGGGATGAAGCACTTGCCGGGAGAGCTAGGACAATGTTAAAGGTGGGGCAGAGACACCTGAAGGTCACAGAGGCTGCAGTCTAAGGTCACTGTGGAAACAGGAATGCCTGCATGTACCCAGGCCAAACAGAAATCAAGCCCAGCAACAAGACTGCCCTGAGGCAAGGAGGGACAGAGCAGAGGTGACAGTGTATGTGTGTGTGCGTGTGTCTATCTCTGTGTGCACATCTGTCTGTCCATATACTGATATCATGGACTATTATACAGCAGGAAAAAGGAACCAGGGCAGACCCAGTCAACAACGTCATTCTACTCGTCATTTTTTCAACAACATATTCTTATGGTCCGTATAATAAGCATTTTTAAGAGAGTTCAAAGTAGGAAGGAAAGCAAGCAAGAACATGAACACGGGGTACTGAGTCAGAGTCCACCAGGTGAGGGTTTGAGTGAAGCTGGAAATGGCTCTCCTCACTCTAGGCTCCTCGTGTGTTCACTGGGGACAAGACACCTGCGTTTGCAGGGCTAGTGTGGGAACTGCTCAGGCACGGTGCACCTGTAAGGCCCCCAGAAGCTGCAGCTGAGCATTTACATAAACACCAGGAAGAAGCGGCAAAGACAGGCTGTGGGTAGGAGCAGGAGAGCCAGCTGCAGGTGGGCAGCGCAGAGATGGCGTGGCCAGAGGGGACAACCTGGCTGGCTGGAAAGGTCAGGGATGGCAGGGTCCCAGTCCTCCGCACTTACTGCAGTTCTCCTCGTCACTGCCGTCAGGACAGTCCTCAAACCCGTTGCACCGGAAGCGGCCGATGATGCAGTGGACGCCGCTGGCGCAGGGGAAGAACGTGGGGCCGCACTTGGACTTCGCTTTAGCTGCAGAGAGGAAAAAAGACAGAGAAACAGCGAGACGTCAATCAGGACCGTAAGGTCTCAGGCCACCGCGTCTTCCTCCTGTCCCCTCTGAAAGTGCAAGGAGCCCTTGCAGGTTTACCTGGGGGTCTCGGAGGGATGCTCACCCCCACCCCCACCCCCACCTGGGATGCCCAGCGAGCTCCGACCCCCACATACAGCACCTCCAAGGAAGGGAGGGGCTGATCCTGTCCCACACAACCTCTGCACCCCCAGGCACCCAACCCCAGGTGCCAAACAGAGGAAGGACTGGATGGACGGGTGAGCCGGCGGGCGATGGCTGAGCTTGCATCTCAAGATGCTGAAGAATCCACTGAAATTCCTTCCCGGGTGTCAACGTAATCACGGTTGACATTTAGCGAGCGCTCACTGTACCAGGCCCTACGCCAAGCGCTGTGCCCGGATTATCTCCTCTAATCCCCCAGCGGCCACCCAACGGGAAGGCATGCAGAGGAGCTCACGCCCGCACACGGCCCTCCTTCCAGAGGCCTGCAGGCCAGGGTGCTCCTGCTTGGCTGGAGCCTGGGAACGTGGATTTGGGGAGGGTCCCTCCACCGTAACTGAAGAGAGCAGCTCCCTGTGCCTACAGTGTTCAGCCAATGGAACAGTTTGCGCTGACACCTGCTTTCCTTTTGAGAGTCTGGAATCTGGGGACATGTGAGGCCGAGGGGACTCCTGCGGCCGTCCAGGATAAACACTCTGGGCACTGACCCGCTAATGCGCCTGCTCCGTAGACAACCCTTCACACATGTCACCACCCACTGCGAGGGAATCAGAGGCATCCTGTGGAAGGGACCAGGGCCTGCTCCGCTCTGGACTTCACTCCACCCCCCCGCCCCCGTTACCTCTGTGGATTCTGCTTTGTATCCTTTCCCTGAAATAAATCGGGGTCAAAGTACATGACTATACGCGGGGTTAAGTGAATCCTAGGACAACTGCTGCATCTCGGACAGCCTTGGGGACCCCCATCACGGACGTCAAGTGCTCATCCCCATTTCACAGATGCATTCTGAGGATCCAGTGACTTGCCCAATGTCACACAGAGCTGGGGTGAGGCCCTGGGCACCCCTGACTCCAAGAAGCCACCATCCCAATCAACTCGATGGCACGGCTTCTCTGCCCAAGGTTTGTCACTTTCCACAAAAGAAGAAATTCATCTTGCCTTCCCGCCATATAAACAGTCTGGACAGAAACGGTTGTAACTCAGGCTTGATGGAGTGTCCTGCTAAACCAAACGGCTCTGTGGGGTAATGCACTTTCTTGTGAATGGCGCTCACTGCACTGGCTGGTGATTGGGAGGTGTTAAGATAGGATCTGTGGCCACGTCCAGGTAGCAGGCTCCACTGAGCAGCCCTCTTGCTTCCTGTCTTAGAAGCAGGACTTACAAGTCCTCCCAGAAGGAAGGGCCATTTCTTTGGAACAAACAGGCCCTGAATCACCTCCGTGTTCCTGCCCTTTGTAACATGCCCACTTTGGCAGCAGCTGATTCACAGTCAACAGGGTGTAAAAGCCTGGGACGTGTCCAGGTTTTAAAAACCCACGTGGCCTTGTTTCCACCTGGAACAACCCTAATGGCGTTGGTGAACCCTTCTCAAAGCACAAACCCGGGAGAGCCCTGCCTTCCGATTCCAGCTCTGGGTCTATGTCCTTGAGCAAGTTTCTAAATATTGTCGAACCCGTTTCTTCATCCACGAATTTCAAGTGCCATCTATTTCCCAGGGCTCTGGTAAGTAGTCCATGAGATGACCTACATTAAGCACTTAGTACAGAGCATGGCATACAGCAGATGCTCAATTAGTGGAAAGATTCTGCCATTTATCATCATCACTAGAATTTTAAAACTGACCCTTCAGCTACTAGAACTTTTTTTTTCCCCCAATTACCAGAGTTTAAAAGCTCATTATGGAAGGGCTCTGTGAACAGATAGAGAATGACTCCCACGATATACTGTTAAGTGGGCAAAAAAGTGCAAAAGAAGGGCCGGGGCTGGGGCTCAGTGGCAGAGCATTTGCCTAGCACGGGTGAGGCACTGGGCTGGATCCTCAGCACCACATAAAAAATAAAATAAAATAAAGGCACGCTGGCCGTCTTCAACTGTTAAAAAATCTTTTTTAAAAAAGTGCCAAAGAAGACCTAGAGTATTTTGTCGTTCATATAGGAAGAGAAAAGAAAAAAAAGGATAAAAATCACAACCATGTGTTGGCTCATCTGTACAAAAGAAATACAGGAAGGATCAACCAGGAATTGAACAACTGCAGACGGGTACGGAAGGAACAGGGGGAATGAGGAACTGGCAACAGAATCCAGGAATAAGGATGAGAAAGGTGCATACTTCTCTGACCCTATCAATGTGTACGATCCAAAAAAAAATAAACAGTTAAGATCAATCACATGTTGGAGAACTCAAAACGGAATTTAAGCAGTAACCAGTGCACACAGCCTCCTTCTTCCACATGAATAACACCCCACTGAAGTGAGAGGTTTAAAAAGCTAGCCTTAAGCAACTGCGTACAACATTATTCTGACTGGATTCTCCAAGGTTAAAGGACTCCATGTAAATACTGTACTGCGGTTATATTTATCTCGCACAGGGGCCGGGAATAGCAATCCTGAAACCACCACTTGCGTAGGCAAGGGCTGGACAAGGCAGTCGACCTTCCGTCCACAGTGAGAGCTGTCAGAGGTCCCTGAGGGACCCTGGGGCTTTGGCCTGGAATTAAAGGAATGTTTTAAAAATCAGGCAGATAGACGTGTCTACGGGATGGAGAGAGAGAGAAACAGCTAATAAAAATCAATATTGATTTGTGTGTGCAGAAGAGGTGTGTGTGTGTGTGTGTGTGTTTGTGTGTGTGTATGTGTGTGTGTGCGTGCGTGTGTGTGTGTGTGTGTGTTCCTTAGCTCTTTTATTGACAAGGACTAGAAACAAAGATATCCCAACAGCAACAAGCACATCCAGCGCTCAGACCATGGTTTCTAAATATCACTCAACCAGCCCAGGAAGCCCAGCTCCTGGGAGAAGTGGCTGATTTCAGAGGGGACGTTGGAGATGAGCCTCCAGCATCTTATACGGCTAGAATATAAAGAAGGGTTCAAAGTGCCCCGGGGGCAAGTCGAAGGGCCGAGGAGTTAACCTGAACTCCCAAATAGCCCAAGCTGGAACAATGTGAGCAACCACGTGGAATTGCAAACCAGAGGATGAGATGAACATCCCTAGAGCCCTCCTGATACCAAGTTGGTTGAAGGCACCCGTCTATGGTTGGGGAGGGAGAGAAGAAATTCTCATTAATGAATGTAAAAAGGGTGCAGGAAACAGAAAGTCCCTCTTATGCAAACAGGGCAGTAATAACTTATAGAGGTACCAATGGGTGCTAAAATCAGAGGAGGAAAGCTTGAGGAGAGACAGGGTACCTGCAAAACCTCAAGGGTCTCCCCAGTACGCTAACTAATCACAAAGGGGAAAAAATAGTGACTGAGAAACTTGGAAGGTGCCACCTTAACCATGCCATCGTGGTCAAAATGAGAGTCACTGGACATCAGCAATACAGTCCCCCTCGAATAGGGAACAGAGGCCACCACATCACCCTCCGTGCTCTACTTGCCAAAAATGCACAATTCAAGGTGATCATGAGCGGACAAGCCGGGAGGGAAGGCCTTCCACAGGGTAACTGACCAGTAACCTCCAAGGCCACGAAAGGCCAAGAGGAGGCGATTGCAAACACTGGAGAGGCCCCCCAGGACTGGGAAGGCCGGCGATGGAAGTCCACCAGTGCCGATTCTCGTGTGGATCCTTGCTCTAGGGCTCTCTCAGATGTCAATCACATTCGTGGACAATGGACAAGGAGTCTGAGAACTCTCAGGACTACTTCTGCCCCTTTTCTGTAGGTCTAACATTATTTTGAAATAAAAACCTACGATCAGGCTCCCTGTGGAGTACATAAAAATACAGTACAGAGCAGGACAGAACGTTACCTATAATCCTCCACTCTGAGGCACCCCAAATTTGCATTCTTCTAATGCAGCTGACGTCTTTATACACACATTTTTTTTAACGTCCCGGGATTTTCTTTTTATTGCACATTTTATTTTGAGAAACTTTTTGATTTACATGCAGTTCTGAAAAAAAGATCCCACGTGCCCTTTTCCTACCTTCCCCCAATAGTCACTTCTCGTAAAACTGTAGGAGGACGTCACGACCAAGACGCCGCCATTGCTGTGGCCAAGGTACAGAGCATCTGCATCCCCACCAAGAGCCCCCAGGGACCCTCGCACAGCCAGGACCAACACTCTCCCTCTTCCGCTTCTCCGTTAACCCCTGGCAATCACAGGTCTGTTCTATATTTCTACACTTTTTGTCATTTCAAGAATGTCATGTAAGTGGAATGGTTCATCATATAACCTTTTGGAAATGGCTTGTTATTTTTTTCATCCAGTGCAAGTCTCTGGAGAAAACCCTCCTGTGATTTTGTAGATTAACTTGCTCTAGAGCTACAACACTAAATATCTTCCAAAGTTTATCGTGGCCACAAAAAATATTTCATCGTATTGATCAACAAGGTTGTTCTATCATTTCCTCCATGCTGGGCACTTGGGGTGCTAGAGTCTGGATGTGGTTCATTCTCCTAAGGTTCCTGTGTTGGAAGCTTGGTCCCCAGGATGGTGGTATTAAGAGGTGGTACCTAGTGCAAGGTCATTAGGTCACGGAAGCCACTGTTATCAGAACAAGTAAATGCTGGTCTCATGGAAGGAATTAAGTGCCCGTGAGAGTGGATTGTTACAGAAGAGCAAGTCTGACCCCTGATTCACTCTCTGCTTTCCTATTTTGCCTTCCCCCCGCACACTCCTGCCATGATGTCATCTTCCATGTGACCCAGCCAAAGGACCCCTCACAAGAGCTGAGCAGATGTCAATGCCAATTTCTTGAACCTCCAAAACTGTGAGCTAAATAAACCTCTTTTCTTTATAAA